ATGAAATGTTGAAGACTCGCAACTTTTGTTTTGACGAATGAATGTTTTGCCTCTCACTTCTCAGTTCTTGTGGTTTTGTGTCAATTTCGAAGTCTTTTTATACATCCAATATCTTCCAGCTATCTACGCGAATATACCAGCATGCTTGATGATCATTGGCTAGAAGAGAGTCCAGCCCCTGCAGGCGTAGAACTGCGTTTTCCGTATTTAGCATTCGTATTCATCCCTCTATTTTTGTTTCTGTTTCTTCTTTTAACCCCGCTGTAATTTTGAAGATCCCAGAATTTACGACCGGATCTACCGGATTTAGTAAAAAAGCCATTTTCCTCTTTATTTGACTAAAAAGAATTACTACGATTGTTGTTTCTTAATTATTTTAAAATCACGTGCATTAGCTAAAAAAAATGGTGCGTCGAGTATTTTTATTTACATCATTTTGTATACAACATAGAAACGTTATTGCAGAGAATATTAAAAAAATTTAGAAACACCTCAAGGCCGTTCAATTATAAGGTATTTATCACGCATTTCTTAGCATGGTGTAGTGGTCAGCCCACTCGGCTCGTATTCGAGATATCCGTGGTTCGAGTACCGGCGAGGGCATTGCTCATTTTTCACGTCTTCTGCTTCGAAAAATACCTAGTGTCTCTACAGTGGCGCCCGAGCTAAAGAAGGTGGTGTATGATGATTCTCCACTATCACAATTTGGCGAATGGGTCCTCTAAAACCCCAGTCGACCTTTAAAAGGGGGGGAGTATATAACATATTTTTCCCGCCTTCCTTAGCATGCCTTTGTGATCTGCACGTTGGGCGCCTTTTCCAGAGGTCCGTGGTTCGATTCCCGGCGAAGGCGTTGCTCATTTTTCATCTTTCCTGCTTCCAATTAAGCTAACATCTCTACAGTGTTATAGTTAAATAACATTGTTAAGGTACGCTATTGCAGTTTATGTTCTTGGCTTATTTTTATAATTTATTTTACACCTTAACCACAAAAGTTGGCAAGTACGTTTAATCACGTGCTTCAATTTAAAGACAACGGACTAAATTTCACAACATTCACCATTTTTTTAAACCTTATACTATCTAAAATGCTAAAAAGACAGTATGGATATATATTTTTTAAACGTATCTTGTCAATGCTGGCTCTGTGACTCACGTGTCTTTTTTCACTTTGTACAACTATATTATTTGCTTAATATATGTATTATTATTCACTATTTACTACAATTGTTATATATATATTTATATTTATATACTCGTAGTACACTTTATTTTATTGTAATGTAAAAGTTTTATTTCCGAATATAATTAAATAATATAAATGTAAAGGGTCTTATTCTTTGATTACGTACACTCTATTTAGGATGCATTGATTTTTAATAGAGAAATGCTTTTATGGTGGTACATATATTTTTGTTTCATATTTATATGGAACAAAATTTGGAAAGTTTGAGAACTATCATATCCACAAAAGTTTATACTCGGCCCGTGATTTCGCAACCGTTGGTTGGAGATCTACTGTTACAAATATGTTTTCAGTGATGCACAGATTCACGTTTTAGAATTTTAACGTTTAAGAAAGGCAGTTTCGTAAAAATTACGAAATGTGACTTTTTATGCATTCTTATTATCCTTGAACTTGTATTTAGTAAAAATTTGACTATTGTACAACAAAATTTGACCTAGCTATCTGGAATTAAATTCGAACATCATATTCAGGGGTCATACACATATGTTTGCATTTCTGCAGACCTAAAAATGAAATATCCATTTAGAAAAATGTTTCTAATGTTAAGAGGTTATAAGGTATTTCTCCCGCCTTCTTAGCATGCCTTCGTGGTGTAACGGCCAGCACACTCGGTGTGTATTCGAGAGGTCCGAGGTTCGAGGGCATTGCTCATTTTGGAAGCTAATGCATCATCTCTGGAGATAATCAACCCAATGTGAAAATTTTCTTAAGTTTGGACACCAGTGTAGATTATTGTTTTTTCGAACTTGAATAGTTCTTTCCTGTCCGTTTTCAATTTAATTCTTTGTATTTATTTCGAATTCAAGAATGAAAATAAATTGTTCTGTTTTCGCTTTGCTTTTAAATTCGCTAATTTAGGCGGAGCGCGTACTTCAAAAAATAATAAGTGCCTTTCATCTTTTTCTCCAATTCCACATCAATTTCATTACCTCCTTCAGAACGTTTCTTTTATGACACCTTTTAGTTGTTGAGAATGTCATTGGATAACTGTCTGTATCATCGCTGGCCAACGATCAAGTACAAAAAGGCCAAGAAACGGTAAACTTTCTGAGGAGTAAATAGCACTTGATTTTATTCCTAGTGGTTCAGTGGTCTGACTCTGTACGTTTTTCTCATCTGCAACACAATATATAAATCATAACATATTTATAATTATAGAAGCCTTTATATTCACGATATATATATTATATATATATATATATATATATATATATATACACGCACATTACTTCGTGATTACATAGTTTCCATTAAACGTTCTCTACAAAGTCATCCCTCCTGATAAGCAAACAGTCCTCCTTATAGGTGGATGCACGGAGGAGGCTGAGCCAATATCGCGAGCACAATTACTCCAGTTAGCCTGAACCAAATTAAACCTGCAGAGTACGAAGAAAAGCCAGTGTTAAAATGCAAAGTAAAATAAAAGGTCACTTATATCATTCAGTAACAATAATCATTGTCCGCTGCTTAAAATTCGCATGACAGTCGGTATCCTTTTCTCTTGTCAGAATGATGAGACATCAAATCAAGTTGTGACGAGTTAGCGTTAATTTGAGTATCACTGTAACGACTGCAAGCGCCCTCGGAGTGGGAATTGTGAAAAATTGCCTGTGTCCTCGCCGGGGTTTTAACAACTGATGCTCCAGTTCTTATCTGAACATGCTAACCTCTTACACTTTGTAAGGTTTATCCTAAGTTTTTGACAGTTATCTTTAGTTAACCCTACTTTCCCCTACCTCGTAATTTCAGCTTACAGGTTCCTACCGGAATGTGTTTTTAAAAACGCGTATGCATGAGTAAGAGCGGTATTTAAGTCGAAGTTTCACTGACTTCGAGAGAGAGCCTCAGAATTTCGACTTTTGGAACTCTTAGCTATTACTACGCTCGGCCGTATTTCAGGGCCTTGACAGTTTCGCCAACTTATTCGATATTTAGGGGCCAGCTACTTAGAAATCTTGATAGCTTCGGCCATATCTTTTAGTTAAGCATTTGTTAAGTTTTATTTCTTATTACTTTGAGTTCAAGCCCAAGTGGAGGCTTTGCTGTGCGCTCTGAAAACGGGGCCATCTGCTAATCCTCATTTTGAGCAATAAAGGGTAATTAACTCTTCTTGAGTTTTACATTTCTGTTTCTGAACTAAAGCGATTGTTCGCTTATCTGTTCACGAGATGCCTACACATTTAGATACTGTTAGATAAAAGGTTGGAAGTCCACAACCTTGGCAGCTTTCACCAAGAAAGACGTTACTTCTTTGCATGCTTTGGTAACGTTTTGTAGGTGTTAACACAGTGAAGGTTTGTTTTTACTGTGCTGTAGTTTCGTTTTCATTTCTTTTGTGTTGCGCAGGAGATTTTAGTCATAGATCACTTTTACATTGCAATGCAAGTAGAATTCAAAACCTATTTTCGTTTCATGTTATTTATGTTTGTATTGCTGTTAATTTTATGGATGAAATATGCAGTAAAAGTCCTCCATAGTGGTAGTTTGATAAGAGAAATCAAGTACAAGTTTTGAAAACTGGATTTGCAACAGGGGGGGAAGTGCTTTTATATAAATTTGCATTGTCACACTAACATTGAAAATAAAACAAGTAATGTGAAAAAAAATTTTTTTAAACTCAATTCCTACTTAGTTCAACAAAGGAAATTTTTATTTTAGTTACTTTTTATTAACAATGTAGAGACATATGCATTTTTACAAGCAGGCAAGATGAAAAAGTAGCAACGCCTTCGCTGGGAATCGAACCACGGACTTCTCAATTAAGGCATGGAGTGTGCTGACCACTACACCACCAAGTCTCGCTAAGAAGGCGGCAGAAATACCTTATAACAATATTAACATTATTTTAGTTTCTAATTTATGAAGCTGATCTATAATTTCTCATTCTATCCATCTCTTGTAATGCTTCATTATTGCAAGGAAACTTTCCAGTGATTTTCGAACAGTCTAGTTCTTCAATTACTATTCTATCTAATGATTTTACACAACTCAATTGGACATATGCTTTACCTGCTGCTGTTTTTCTTTCTCTGATCGTCGCTTGCGTTGTGTGGTAGTTTCTTTTCGTTTTCTTTTCGCATTCTCCGTTTGTGAAACAAGGGCCATTTTGAATTGTTATATTTTAAACATATATTATTATCACGCAAACATAGAAATATGGCGAGAATTTTCGCTACATAATGGGGCCTTCCATCCACTTCATCCAACTCTATAAAACTACCATTCTTTAATTCCATACACTTTAAAAATCTTGAGAACTCTGTCTTACTGTTGCCACTTATTTTTTGTTAAATATGACAATCCCATTGATCGCAGTCAAGTACTATTATTTATTCATTGTTATGAAATTAATTTTTAAAGCACGTGATAATTCCTAATAAACGGTCATTATTTGTAAGTCTTATAATATATTTAATAAAAACAGCCTATTTTTAGTTTCGATAAACAGGAATCAATAAGTAAGAATTGACTTCATAATGTGTGAAAAAACTGTATTAACGTCAAGTGTCATCCATTTCAAGTTAAAAAAATATATTTGAACTTTAGTGGACGAATAAAAAGTATTTTATTAACGATTTAAAATTTGAACAAAATATAGAGAAAGTGTGAGCTAATAGTAGGATTTTAAAAAGAGAAATTTTAAGCTGAACAACACTTTACTATGTAATGAATCTTCTAAGATAAGTAAATAACACAGGCAACACAAATACAAGATCTCACTCCTTTTGTCAATTTTATTCTTTACTGATTCTTTTTTTTTTTTTTTTTTTTTTTTTTTTTTTTTTTTTTTTTTGGTAGGTGTTTAAGGAGGCTTCATATATAATTAGCAGCCTTCAGTTAAAAAAGAATAACAAAGTGTGCAATAATTTAAAAGAGATTTGAGCTGTCCTCACATGTGGCAGTAACTTCATCTCCTCTTTCCGAATAATATTCTAACCATTTCTTCCAGGTCATCTTCTTCATCCGTATAAAGAAGTGCCTTGGTGCAGTTTCGAAGATATGAATTCTTGAAACAGTTTGACCTAAAAAATATTTAAGATGGATAGCAACTTAATTAATTGGAAGCAAAACTAACATTCGCTATTCACGTTGCACTCAAAATTGGACTTTTTTCGGTTACGTTTTGATTTGCATGCACACTGTAAGGTATATCTTAATTTTAAAACAGTTATTTTAAGCTTACCCCACTTTCCTATGCCTTCTAGCTTCAGCTTACATTTTCTTGCCAGAATGAGTTTTTAGAGTCGCGTTAAATGCAAATGAAAAGTAGAGTAATAGTAGAGAAAAGTAGAGTAAGTCAAGTTTCACTGACTTCACGAGAGAGAATTAGGATTCCTGAGTAGCACGCGTTTGCCTTTTGGCTACGTCTCTCTAAACTGTAACTACGCTCGGCCGTATTACGTGTCTTTTGATGTTTTCGCTGGATAGTATAATATTACGGGCTAACTAGTTCAGAACTGTGTTAGCTTCGGTTAAATCACTTTAGTTACTCATTAGACAGTTCTTATTTCTTACATTTTGAGTTTAAGCCCAAGTGGAGGCTTTGCTGTGCCTGAGAAAGGAGCCAAAAGTATACCTTTACTCGGAGCAAATAAAGGGTGTGATAAGGTCTCATAAAGATTCTTTGTCTAGGATGAATGATTTCAGAATGCAATGGTACCTTTTTCATTCCAAACGAGAAATCCTGCTGCAACGAGGTGTCTTTGTTAATGATTCCGATTGCAGCCTCAAAGGTCACTCCAAGGAACAAAGGAATAAAAGAAGTCTTTTCATCAGGGTGCAGCGAGATAGGAAGTTGGGTTTTTCCCTGAGAAGATCCAGGACTTCCCTGCTGGAAATGAGGGGCATATTTGTCCGCTAGAACTATCACTTCTCGTGTATAATGTAAATAGCGATAGCGCATTTTTCCTGCTAACAAATTTCTGAATTTACGGGACTGAATGTATCCAACATCGTCATGATTTGCAATTTTTAATGTTTGACTAATTAAAATTCATGTTATTGTTGGAACTTGAGTTACAACAATAACATTCATTACAACCCTGTATTACAACCCAAGGTTTGTGTAGCGGTTTCGGCCACTACACCACAAGGGTAATTAATCCTTCTTGAGTTTACTTTTCTGCTTTTGGACTTGAGTGATTATTCGCTCAGCAGTTCACTAGGTTTCTCGACATAAGATAAAAGATAGAAGTGCGGAACCCTACAGCATAAGGAAACGTAGCAGGATAAAGATAAAAAGAAGAAGAAGTTTAAGAAGATAAAAGTGCGGAAACTTACAGCATAAGAAAGCGTAGCAAGGGTGGCTATATCGCTTTCTTATACAAATAAAATATATGCATGAAATGTGCTAAACTAACTACTCAGTATTAATTTAGAAGTCAAACAACAAAAATCAGCGTTATATTTTCAAATTTTCACAGGACTAGTTTCGATGGTTTTACGAACCATCATCCTCAGCTGCAAAAGCGCAAAAGCAATGCGCTTTTGCAGCTGAGGATGATGGTTCCGTAAAGCCATCGAAACTAGTCAAACATAAGCATAAATCAAACAATAAAAATCAGCGTTTAAAACCATCGAAACTATCCTGTGAAAATTTGAAAATATAACGCTAATTTTTATTGTTTGACTTCTAAATTAATATTTGTTTGTAGTGTTATTGTATCTTAATTAACTAATCAGTGTCCAAAAGAAAGATATTCATTCATATCGTTTCTTTTTATCAAGTTATCAGTAAACCAAACTGTTCAATGCTCAAACATAATTATTTTTTCATTTCTTGTCAGTTAAAAGACTTTATAATGTAATTCAAAAACATTAAAAAATAAAAAATATTGGACTGATTCTATCAAAGAGTTTTTTTAAAGCAATCTTTAACAGTTACGTTTGCTTGTGGATGCTGTACGGGAAGTGTCTGCTAAATTTCTGATTGAATAGCAGAGGCAGAAACCAAACTGGAAGTCTGCGAGTAGAATAGAAAACGTTATGTAATGTATCAGAAACAGTTCATATCATGCAGAATTTTATATAGGATAAAATAATTTATAACTTGATTCGACATCCGAATTTATGAGAAATGTATGGCAACTAGAAGCATTGAGAATTTCTAATAAATCTGATGAGAGTCACAGATTAGAAAACGACGTTACCTTTAACATTTTTTAGGATAAATACATGCATCTTTGTCGTAAAAAAAGTGTAAGGGGAATACACGTCCATTTCGAGATAGTAGAAAAATGTTCGAATCTCAATGAAAAAGATTGGATTGGATTGGATTATTTAATTATGACAAAGCACACGAGGGCTATCTGCCTAAAGGGAGGGATGCTTTCGTGGAGGCCTTTCTAAGGAGAACTGGCTCGTATACACGTTACGCATGGGGAGAACCACGAAAACGCGCATGCAGCCAGCCCGTTCGCGAGATTCGAACCTCGGACCGAACTACCAGTGTTCAGCGTCTTTACCGCTCGGCTGCTAGTGGGTCCGACTTAGGAAGAATCAAATGTTTCATGATTATTACAAAGCTGTGATAGTTCAACGTTTACAAGAGAGTGTTGTGGAAGAATCGGAGTATTAGAAAAATGAAAATGAGTATTTTTTGTTGCATCGACTGTGTAGACATTAGGTTATTTCGAAGCAGGAGATGCGACAAAGGAGCAATGCTCTCGCCGAGACTCGAACTTCGAGTCTCTGGAATACGCGCCGAGTGTGCTCACCATTACACCACGAAGGCATGCTAAGAAAGCGGGAGAAATACATTATAACTGTACATTGTAAGGTTTATCCTAGGTTTTTAACAATTATTTTAAGTTAAAGCTTCTTTCCTATCTCTCCTAATTTCAGATTACATTTCCCTATCAGAATGTGTTTTTAAAATCGCGTTTAATGCAAATGAGTAAGAGTGGTATTTAAGTCCAAGTTCCACTGACTTCGAGAGAGAGCCTCAGAGTTTCTGACTAGCACGCGTTTGCCTTTCGGCCACGTCTCTAAGCTGTTACTACCACTCGGCCGTATTACACGCCCCTGATAGTTTCGCTCGCTAAATTCGATATTTAGGGGCCAACTACTTAGAATCGTAATAGTTTCGGCTATATCTCATTAGTTAAGTTCTTATTTATTACTATTTAGAGTTTAGACCTGAGTGGAGGCTTTGCTGTACGCCCTGAGAAAGGGGCCAACTGTCCACTCTTATTTTGAGCAATAAATGATAATTAACCCTTTTCGAGGTTACATTTCTGTTACCGAACTTTTTTGAGTTCTTACATGCCGCTCTTACTGTTGCCGCTCTCACCGGTTCTACAACATGACTATCAATTACAATTCTGGACGATTGAACTTTATTGCTGATATAGTATCTCGTCCAATTTGTGAACACTCAAGTACAAATTCTTATCAAGTCTGCGCTGTCTCTGTCGAAATCCCTACTATTAGTCCTGCAGAATTACGCCAATCACAGTTAGAAGATCATTAAAACTTTTGAGAATTGAGTCCATTGAAGGAAGCAGACTGTGCATCTTGGACTGGAAGAGGAGGCTACATGAGGAATAGAGGAGTGTGGTACCGATATTCCCCTGATTCGGAAGAGGACGAAGCTCTGCTTGTAATACCTCAACAAAGAATCTTAAAAGAATATCATGATTCGCCAACGGCCGGTCACTACGGATCTGAAGGGACATTTTATCGAATAGCAAAAAGATACTACTGGGTGGGAATGAGAAAGGATATAGCATACATTTGACATATCAAAAGCTGCCTCGAATGCTGTCGTTATAAAGTCTCTAATCAAAGGATATCTGGCTTACTTCAACCGTGTTATATATCAGTTACAATTCATTACATTCAGGGTATAACATTCTTACGTAGGTAAGGGTATAATGTATTTCTCCCGCCTTCATAGCATGCCTTCGTAGTGTAGTGATCAGCACGCTGGGCGCGTATTCGAGAGGTCCGTGTTTCGACTCCCGGCGAGTGCGTTGCTCATTTTTTCACATCACCTGCTTTAAAAATAATGTAACGAAAATTTATTAAAACACCAAACATATCAGAACTATGCCGAGACTACTCGTCAACGGTTGTTCTAAACAGGCTTCTTATATGCGTATATAAACCTTAATAATAATTAGACACAGTGAGTATACTATTAGAATATCTGTTTACAATTTCAATATTTATAGAAAAAGAAATGAAATCTTATGTACTTGGATTCTGCACATGCTTCTTGACGAATAACAATTTTATTCATACTTGACATCAGCAGTTTCACAGTTTCGTTGAATTAAGGCAGGAATTCTCTACTAGGATATTATTCAATAAACAGTAAAAATACAATACATAATTCAATTCAATTCATATCTACATAAAATTCATAGAACGCTTATATCACTAAGCAAACACGGATCAGAACGTGCACGGCAACGCCTAAAACGGATGCCATCCACAAAAAAAGGATACATAAAACTCGTGTCATTAAAACATTAATACATTAAAAGTCTCGCATTCATTCAACAAAGTTATTCATAAAACAAAGTCTCGTGGATATCTTCCTAAGTTTACTGATGGCATTATGTAACAAATAACTTAATGTTTCTACAGTGACGCCCGAACTAAAAGGGTGCTAGATGATGATTCTCCAAACCCAGGATTCCGCGATTGGGTCCCCTAAAAACCCAAGTCGTCCCTTAAAAGGGGAGGTATATAATGTATTTCGCTCGCCTTCTTAGCATACCTTCGCAGTGCAGTGCTCAGCACGCTGGGCGTGTATTCCAGAGGTCCGTGGCTTCGATTCCCGGCGAAGACGTTGCTCATTTTTTACTTCTTCCTGTTTAAAAAATAATCTAATGACTCTACAAGAGAAGTAATGTTTTGGATCCAAAAATTCCATGAACAGTTTTAAAAAATTCGATAATGGATAAGCATGAATAAGAGCCCCCCCCCCACACACACACAATGTTTACCAATGTTTGTGACGATTTTGATTTTCTCCGTGAATTTAATTTAAATATTAAATTTAAAGGCTGACATA